AAGTATAGCTGAAAAGGAAAAAAAAACTCATAAATGGTCTAAAAAGTGTTTGGGGTAAGCCCCAAGTGGGCCCACACGATATGTCACTTTTTTGCCTCTTTTCCTAATTATAAGCCCTTTGTGATGAATCCATCCCTCCTCATCTCATTTTTTTGTTTTGGGTCTTTTTTGTAAATAAATTTATTTATTACTACTCCAGTCTTAAACATAAGACCCATTTTATAGTGAAAATGGATCTTACATTTAGAACCAGAAAGACAGAATACTATCTTAAGAAACTTCATAGATGTGAATAATTGTGATGATCATGTTTAGCTTAAGTTTATAGGTTCTTCTTGTGCATTCCACTTAATTTGCAAGAGAGACGACGAACTTCAATTACTTACAAAAGAAAAATTTGCCAGTCTTACATCAGCCAAAAAAAGTTTTTTGCTTTTTCAATTACTATTTCTCAGCCGGTGGGCCCCCACTATGAAGGGTGACCAACGTTGCATTTGGATGAAATTCAAAGGATGCTTTCCTTTCAATTGTCACTAAATTGTCAACAAGAATTAGTCCAGTATATAAGGAATTGGCTTATAATCTACAAAGTTGTAAGTTCAAATATCACTATCAATATGAATAACTTGTTAGTAAGCAATCTGTAAATGCCTTTATAAACACTCTCTGAGCATGGAAGCTTGCTTTAGCCCTAGTGAGTACCAGGACCCAACTCACCTAAATTTTTCTACAGCAGAATGTTGTCAGATTTTTCAGTATAAATGCAACTCTTGTTTTTGACAAGGTCAAAAAAAAAAAAGTCTTGCTTTTGACGTTCATGGGAAACGAATGGGAAAGCCACTACCATGTTTTATTTGATTAACAAAGATAGAAACTATTATTGAATGTGAGATACCAGCTACCTCTTTTCAATTGTCTTCTCTTTTCTACTGCTACTTTTTTTACTTTCAAAATATTATTTTCTTGTTTTTTTAATCATTAGATCCTATGTAAAATAAATGATATTTTAAAATCTTATGAAGGAAAAATGGTGTGAAAAAATACTCTCAAAAAATAAAAAAGATACTTATTTTTTGTTCATAAAATATCAAAATGCCATTCATTTTTGTAGAATCTAATGACGAAGAACAAGAAAATGCACTTGGAAATTGATGAAAAACTAAGCGGAAGCTTAGAGGGAGCAGTGGACACCCAAATCTATAGTTACTAGGAAGGGTGGAGATGTTGAAGGAACCTATGAAGATGAAAGAGGTTTAGCTAATAAGCTTTGTCATGAGTTTGTGATTGGGCTTGGGCACTCACTCTTTACCGAAAACAAAATTCCCAACATTGGCAACTTTGTTTGAATAATTCTATTATATATCCATCATCATGAAAAAAAAAGTATGTAACATTCCAAATTTTAGGGCTCTGGAAAATAGGCTATTAAAGAATTATGAGGTCCAAAAGAATTATTTTCATGACCAAAAAACCTGTTTTCTGATGAAATTTTAAAGAGATTAGAACCTTTTTCCTAAAAATTTAAGGAAAAATAGTTAGAGGTTTATATTTGAGTTGGAACTTTTAGGATAATTATTTTATGAGAAAAAAGAACTAGTCGAGGCATAAAATCCTTAAAATGAATTAAGGATTGATTTATGAAATTAAAGCCTATTTTCTTAGAAAATTTAAGAAAAATAATCAGGAGTTGATTTTTTATACAAAATTTTTAGAGGAATTATTTTATGAGTCAATGTCTCAATGAAGTTAATGGATAAGGAAAATCCATATAAAATATTACGGGTTAATCTTTAGATTTATTTTATAATTTCAGAATTATAGAGGAAGGATGAGATTGGAATTAAGGAATGAAGAGAAGGGCACAATGGTCATTTCGCATGCCCTTCCCACTTATATTCTGCCAACACACCTCTCCCAATTTATTTTCATCATGCCAAGCTTCTGGAAATAGAGAGTGACGGAGAGTGAGAGTTGAGAGAGAGCCAGAGATCGGCGAAGCTAGAGGAGTAACCGGAGGTGGTAAGCTTACATGCAATTGCAATTTTCGGCCAAGTTGAGCATCCTAGATACTCTCCTACCCTTCTTTTCTCCATTCTCTGTGAGATTGAAGAGCTGATGGGAAAATGAAATTTCTGGGTTATGAAGAAATGGGGAATAAAAAAATGAAATAATGATGGAACAAGTAGATTAAAGCTTGTATAAGTGAGTTTAAGTGTTGCATGTTGATAATTGTGGTTGCATGTGGGTTTCCTTGCTCTGTTTTTGTTGACCGAAACAGGGGTTAAAAGATTCATTAAAGTGGAATCGAATTGTGAGGGTTGAAGGAGAGGATATATACACACACACTCTCATAAACTAGTATGCTTGAATGGTCATGGATACCTGATATGTGTGTATGTGGGCGTGGTTGATGTTAAGACAGGGAATTTTTGAATTTGGCTTCTTCTTTTTTGGTGCTGCAGCGTCAGATTCCGCAGTGGGGAATGGAAGAAAGCTTAAATGATGAATATATGAAGTGCAGGATATGAGATATATAAATATATGTTTGTGATTGACACGCTAAAACTGAATGATCAATATTAAAAAAAAATCTTTGGGACGGTTACTGTTTTGTGCTTTTAAATGCTTTATATTTATTGTCGATGGTCTAGCTAGGTGTAGAGACTTTAGAATGATGAATTAAATTTTGTTTTTGAGCTTTCTGGAAATTAGAAGAAGGTGCCGGAGAAATCAAGGACATTATAAGCTATGAAGATTATATATGTCTATTTCTTTAGGCCTTTATGGCAACTAAAAGAGGAAGAAGTTTGAAACTTATCAAGTATCATTAGGTATTAAAACGTTATTAAAGTTTCTAAAGTGACAATTAAAAATGGTGTAATGGTTGGAAGCTTTAGAGATTGGATGGTTAAGTTGAATTAAATTAATTAGGCTGTAGTTTACATTGTTAAAAGTCGAATATAATTTATGTGGTTAGATCAAGTTTGGGAGCATTTCAAAGGTGACTTGAGCATTTTTTTTAAATGTAGAAAATTTGCAAATTTAAGTAAGGGATTGAATCGAGGAGTTACATAAAATCTTCACGGAAAATATAGCATAGGTTATGGTACTCATAATGTAAAGCCGTGAGGATGATAGTTGGGAAAAATGAAAATTTTATGCAGCTTACTGCTGGTGTTAAGAAGGTTAATCTTAAAATATTAATGGAGAATTAGATAATAATTAAGAAGCTAGAAATTTAAAGAATGATTTTTTATGTTCTGAAGTTACTCAAGAAAATAGTGGGAAACTTATGTTCTATTATGAAAATTGAATAAAGGAAGGAAGGAGTTATAGATAAGATAAAGCTAAGCCATAATTGATTGGTGAATTAACAAGGAGAGTGTGTGCGCGCGCGCGCATACACAAACTATCGATTAGTAAGCTTGTAGGGGACAACAATATCTAAAGGCTAATAGAGTTGTAATATACAAAGTTGTTTTGAAATATGGTTAGAAGTTCATTAAAGTGCTGTGATGATGATTTTCAAAGCTGGAAATAATTTCCAGATTTAATATGAAGTGTTAATAGAAAATATTTTAAAGATAGAATGAAGTTGAGATTTTAGGACTTGTATGTGTGTGTTCTTGAAAGTTGGGAAGTTCAAATAAAGAGTCAAAGGATATGAGGAACTCATTAGTCAAAACTTGGAATTTTAAGCAAGTATTTAAAACTGTTGGAATATGCTTACAAGTGTTAAGACGTTGTTAAAGATTAAAAAGTGTTATAAGGTGGGGTATGAGAAGGACACATTAAATGTCCTTAACTATAGTATATAGAATAATATTTTCAACTAAGATGTCCAGTTACTAACTAAAGTAACTGTACAAGTTGAGATAAAGGAGGAAACTTTCTAAAGAGAGTAGTTTGAATAAGAAAAATTATCCAGGATAACTAACTACTAAGTAAGGGTGGAGATTAAAGAAGATTTGAGAATTAAAGAGAGTTATTTAATTTATAAATTATAGTTGGACCAAGTGTTGATCTATCCTTATGATACTATAGGTTTTAATATCTGCCCAAGCCTATAAAGAAAGCAAAAGAAGAAAAAATTTGTAAGGTTTGATTTGAAGGGAAGCAGACCAAGCAGTAGTTCTTTCCTATCTTACATTCGTGTATGATTGCTGCATGTCTGTTTGTGCTATATTACTGTTTTAAAGTATGAGAACATATAACCTTAATTCCTTGCACAGATTATTTAGCGGTGATCACATGTAGGACAGTATTTGCCAATTACTTACGCATTATTTATTCAACTTGTCTATCTGTCTTTGCGCATACATGTATAACTGCATTAGCTTGTAAGGTTTTGTTCCACTTTGACTTGTTTTGCATGCTTTATGTAGTCTGCACATTTGTTTGATGGAAATCACTACTACAGGGATTGTTTAGAATCTCACCCTCCCTTCCATGATATACAGCAAAGGCAAGCAGTTCTAAGGGAAAAGAAGTTGTATAAGAAAAAGGTGGGCTGATTGAAAAGCATGGATGCCTGCTATATTTTGTATGTAGTAGTGGAATATTTTGATAAGTTAATATTTATATTATTATACATGTTATATGGGCAAGAAACTTGCTTTATGTAAATATAATTATGTATAGTCTATAAGGAGGAGAGCACTGCTAGGCGCAGGTAATTGTAACGTAATATTATGTATTTATATGGTTTGAAACCAAAAAAAAAATTGCCCCATTTTTCCCAAGTTGAAAACCTGGTGTTAGTGATACACAGCATTATATTGACCCTATTAATATATAGAATGTTAGGTGTTGCAAAGCAAGTCAAAATGAATTAATTAGCATTTTGCATTTAGGAAGTTCAATAAAAACAAGATTTATATATATAAAGACAAGGCTATGCGTTGCGCTAATTACACGTCACATTACATTTAAACCGCAAAATAGAGGAACTAATTAGCACATGTAAATTCTTCTTCACACTTCATGTTATATTTCCCTTCTTCGAATAATATCTACTCGTTTATGAAAGATTGCAATTTCATGCTTGTTTCCCAACCTACGTGCGGAGTTGAAATTCTCAAGAAGCCTACTAGATGAAAAGAAATCTTTATTACATGGAAGATAAACACAGGAATATAATTAGACCATTGAGCCATCCATTACTTCAAATCTTTTCTTCGCACTTTCATGTGAGAATGCAGAAGCGGCTAAGGTTTAACTACTACAACTGTACTGTGATGATGCACTATTCGTTGCCTCGACCCTTTACTTCACATTTTCGTGTGATCTTGATATAGAAGAAGAACTAAAGATTTGGCTATAGCTTTCTTGAGATAATTGTATCTCAAAGGCCTTGAATTTGGCAACTTGTTGGTCACTCTCCTGACGTTTGGTTGCTAGGGTTTGGATTGGCAACTTTCCTTCAAGCATGTCAACAACAGAGGACATGGATGGCCTTAGAGTTGGAGATGGGTTAGTACATAGGAGTGCCAGCTCCAGCATTCTCGTGACTTCCTGTAAGGAGTAGCTTGAACCAAGGCTTGGATCCACTAGCTCAAGAAGGTTTCCTTGCTCTTGAAGAACATAGGCCTTCAATTACATAAAAGTATGCAAGTGTTAGAAATTTCAATCAAACCATTAATTTTATGAAGAATATTGAACATCATTAATGCTAAGCATGAGTAGAATAACTAACCCAGTCAAGAAGATAAACAAACTCCTCTTTTGGCCTGTAACTTGTGTTGCTTTTTCCACTAACAATTTCTAAAGCAACAACTCCAAAACTATAAACATCTGCTTTCTCAGTTAAGTGTCCTCGCATTGCATATTCAGGAGCTATATAACCACTAGTAAAAAATATATAACATTGATAATGAAGTGACAAAACAAAGAATGTGCAGGGGAAGTCTAAGAAGAAAAACCTATTAACATTATTACTAAACCAAATATGAGAATTACTCCTCTGGTCCTATTTATAGGGCAAAGAGAGAAGATATTTTTTGGTCCTATTTATAAGGCACTGAGAGAAATTTTTTACTTGGATGTAAAATTTTACTCTTCATTTATTATTGTGTTGACTTTGTTTACATGAGGTATAATGTATATTAAAGAGGAATAAAATTGAAAAGTTGTTAAATTTTAAATGAGAGTTAATGAGGTTTAAGATTTTTCTTGATCTGTGTAAAACATGTTAGAAGTGACTTATAAATAGGACCAGATGAGTATATTCATCCACTAAAAATATGTAGTAGAATATGTACTAACATTGTTCCTGCTATTCTTGTGCTTATATGAGTATTCTCATCTTCATCAAGCTTGGCTAATCCAAAATCTGAGATCTTGGCATTCAAATCTTTATCAAGTAAGACATTTGTTGCCTTAATATCCCTGTGCACAATTTTCAGCCTTGATTCCTCATGAAGATAAGCTAATCCTCTTGCTATTCCTACGCATATCTTCATTCTTGTAGGCCAGTCCAAATGTATCTTTTGTCCTTGACCACCTAACATTAATATCAATGGTATCCTAATCAATAGCATATTACTATCAAGTGATTCAATAAAAATTAATTAAATATTTGTAGAAGTTGTTTCAAATGAGTAAATATGTTTGAATTAAAAAAAGCCCAAAATACATCATCTAAATTTTGTCTTCTAAAAAATAAAGATATAAAGAAAAGTTGTTGACAAATAATATAAATACAATCTTACATTTTCTGTCATAGCGATGTAATACTGTAACACACACACTAAGAGCATGCATATCAGAACAATTTTTTTTTGTACTCAATCAATTTTATCTTTTCCTTATATATAATACTACATATGGCAATTTTTTATTGTGAAGAATTCAAGTTCTTACCAAAAAGAGCTCTAGCAAGACTATTGTTCTCCATGTACTCATATATCAGCAGCAATTGGTTTTCTTCAACGCAACATCCATAAAGTTTTACAAGGTTTGGGTGTTGCAAAGCAGATATCATTCCAATTTCATTAACAAATTCACGATTCCCTTGCTTTGATTTAGAGGAAAGCTGTTTCACAGCTATGACAACTCCATTTGATAGTATACCCTGTAACCAATTTACCTTTATTCTCAATTGTCATAATCTTTCTTAAGCAAAATCAATGTGTCTTAAAGAGATAATCTCTTTATAAGTGTATTCAATCGTGTAATCTTGGTTAAAGATAAATATGATACATTAAAATTACCTTGTGCACCGGTCCAAAACCTCCTTCACCAATCTTATTTTCTAGGGCAAAGTTATTAGTGGCATCTTTGATTTGTTTTAAAGAGAAATAACCTGTTTTTAAATCTAAAAGTTCTGCATCAAAAATAAAAGTTATATAAATACAAAGCAAAATACATTGAAATTAAAAGAAACTTGGAAATAATTACGTATATGCAGAAATCATTATTTATCCATTTGAATTGCATGATAGAATTCAGGCATATAAAAAATCATTTTTTCACTATATTATATCAAATTATCAATAGATATACCAGCTTTATTAATTTTGATTTTGATCTTACGTTTGTCTTTTGAACGTCTGTCACCTAGTAAGCCCATTCGTCGGAGGATGAATATTATTATTAGTATGATGAGGAACACATACGATCCAACCACAATTCCAGCAATGCCTCCCCCAGAAATCCAAGGAATATTGAAATCTACATGAGAAAAAGCAGTAATGGTTACGATTCATATCAATGTCAAAATCGTCATCACTTAGTTTAAGCTAGAAAGAGTGTAAACCAATAAATGTGATATTTGACTTACTTGGGGTGACTGAAATAGCAGATATAAGAGGTCCATATACACTGTTATTATCATTAGGAATAGAACTAGTTCCTTTTCGAGCCCAATACAAATGAATCTCCAAGGTGTTATCATTAACATCAACATTAAAGTCCTTGACAATGCCCTTACCAACGCCACCAGCTTCCCTGATAATGTTGAAATCATGCAAATATTTCCTACCCTGTCAAGATATACATACAAAAGTTTCACCTTTCAAAGCTTTTGTTAACATACATAGCGAAAACAGTTGAAAGCATGTTAAATCATTATATATGGTAATAGTCCTTGTCCTTTAAGAGTTCATCTATGAGAGAGAGGGGGAAAGCTCACCATAGATAGGGCTAGTCTTTATAATGAGAAATTCTTATATACTCTTAAAGTGTCACATCATCCATGCTCTATTCGATGAAAATGCTCCAAGTGGCCTTTCTTACCCACAAATTTCCATCATAATAGGTCATCGAGAGAGAAAAATAATCAAGAAAAATTTGTGGGATGTGAGATCCACAAGAAAGGACACTTGGAACCTTTCATTGGAGAGAGTATGAATGAGGTGACACTCTAGGAGTATGTAAGTATTTCTCATTTACAATTAGCCATTTAGCCACCCATTACAAAGATACATAAACATAGTGGTGAGCTCACTTGATAGTGAGACATGCCATAATATTTATTTCTCTTTGACTGTATGGCTGTATGGATGGAGAGTCTTATTTTCTCACTATTCATGGAATTCTCTAGTCACTAGAAAAAAATTCAAATTCAACATAGAAAGACTCACTTGGATTGAAACATCAAATATGCGCCTTCCAAGGTTATTGAAATTTTGGTCATGAGAATACATAATCTCAGCAAAATATAGCTTGACATTGTAATTTCCATTAATCATACAGAGGCCATGGTACTTGAGAGACAGAGGGGAAATGCGAGCTGTTTGGTAAAAGTCAGGACCAGTAATGTTGAGGGAAAATCTATTTTTTGCTATGTGATTATAGTATGTTGTTATTCCTGCTGTGCTGCTATAAGCCCATTTATCATCACCGGGGCAAAAGAATGAGGTATCCTGAGAATTGATATCGCCTTCATATTTATTCCCCTCATATTTAATTTCTGGTCCACCACAGTTTATGAACAATGAATGATCTGTATACGTAGGGACAATCTCATCAAAAATCATATATATAAGAGAATCCAAATTAATTAATCAAATTTATAAGATCATGATCTTCATGATCTTCTCTTGTGAGAATATATATATATATTTCTTGTCACATGACATTGATAGTTATTTCACTGTTATATTGACATTTTTTAGCTGATTTATTTGTTTTTATTGAAAATAAAATACAACTAAAAAAAAAGACAATGTCGTGGGAAACCCTCAAACAAGCAAGAAAACATTGATGCACAAAAGTTTAATTAAGCACTCACACTTTGGTTTTCTTCCACAAGGAAGCCCCCTTTTCAAGCAAGTGCATCTGCAAGATGAATAAAGGTCACAAAACATGAATCAAAAGCATTTAGAATAAGTGAAACAATACAGCCATAAGTATAATCTTACAATGTGTTTGCTGAAGATGATAGACTCGAAACCAAGTTTCTATATAACAAAGGAAAAAAAAGGCTTAGAGTTGTTGCGTGATGCGTTTAAGAACAAGAAAAGAGTTGTTTTAGGGTGGAGAGGAGCTTACAAGTTTTCGTACTGACAATTAGTCGCAGAGGTCTCCGAAAAATTGTTGTAAGATAAATCACTGCAATATAATAGAAAGTAGTGTGAAATTACACATGTAAGTTTTTTTTCCCTGTTATATATATTTTTTATTAGATAAAGTTTAGATGAGTTGGTTGGGCTCTTCTTGTTTAAATTTCGAACGCTTATTATAAGCAATTAAAGTGGGGAAGAAGTTTTTGTTAGTGTTTGAATTGAATTATTTCATTTTTTAAATAAAAAAATCTGATTTGAATTGGCATCTAGACAACTTTTTTTTATTCAAGACAAAATGATAATTGGTAAATAAAAGTTTAACAAGTTACATATAGTAAGAGCACCAACATGAAAATTGAAAAACTGAAGAAAATAAGGTAAAGTAATGGTCATACAAGTTTTAGACATCTTGAATTATCAAAGATAGTTCAGTCAAAAGTATTGTATGTAGAAAATTGTGCAGATTAAAATTTTAATGTGGGATATATATATCAAGGAAAAAATTACTACAAAGTCTAGTGACAAGTAAACAGTTGTTATTTTTTAGATTAAAACTTGTCATTACATGCTGTTTTATCATTACTGGAACTTATGTTTTTTATTTGAGACTTCAAAGCAATTCTCCTAAATTTTTTATATCAAAGTTCAAATCAAAATGATATCAGGCAAAGGGGATTAATTAAAAATGATGAGAGATATAAAGGCTAAAGATGTTTATGTCAATAAGACTTACGGGAATTACTTTCAAATGGTAATGGCATTGAACTCTATGTAGTAATGACAAATAAAATTAAAATAAAAAATATTTTACTAACAAAGAACCATAATTGTATTGCTGTTGCAATATCCAATCAGGAAATTTTCCGGTCAGGGAATTTTCAGTTAGAATCCTGCATACATAATTAATAAGGATCCATTAAAAAAGAGGAATTAAGTTCCAAAAAAAATCAAGTTATCTACATGTGTAGAATGCTCCCTTACATGTAATATAGGGCAGTCAAGTTACTTATATTGTTTGGGATTATACCGGTCAACTTGTTGAAGCTCAAATCTCTGTAATTAATACATGGGGACACAAATATTGCTTCATAAAAATAACTGAAAAATAATATTGCTAGTAATAAATAGTCCACAGTAAAAGTAAGTAGCCCTAAATTAGGAATTAGGTTGTCAATTAAACATTAAATTGGGAATATTATTTAGAGGATTTTGGATTCGTAGTATGAGGATGAAGCAACTTACACTCTATATAAGTTTTCCATTTTACCAATATAATTTGGAATGGAATCATGGATGGAGCAATTTCTCAACACCCTGAGAGAAAAACAAATTATGAAAATTCATTGAGAATATATAGCTCATTTTTGATAAACAAATTTTCACCTCACTACTAAATTCTCAACCTACAGGCGCCGCAAGGATGTCAAATTCTCCAGATTAGGAAATCTCATTATCGCTGGTCCATGCAAATCAGATATTCTCCTAAATTAAAAATTAAATAAAAAAGGATCAATAACAGGAAAATATTATTCTGTTGAAATTTATTTTCATAGCCATCAAATAGTGTTCAGATGAATTAAAAAAGACCAAGTACTTACAGTTCAGACAAATTTGTTAAGTGAGATATGATTGTAGGAATGGGGCCTTCCATGGACGTTCCCTCCAGGGACCTGTCCAAATAAAAAAAAAAAAAGTAGTGAAAACAATAATTTTGAAAGTAAAGGAAACACTTAATGTTTGGATTCATTTTAATTGCAAACTTTAAAATTATGGCATTATTTTATTTTATTTATTTACTCACTTAGCTTGGACTAACATACATAATTATATCTCGATTCAATTTTTGTTCCTTATTTTCACTCCATGAATATCTCCCACATAGATAATTTTCTCTCTCTCATCCACTGCTATTGAGAATTTAACTAGTTATTAACACCTGATTAGATTATACATTACACAACCTCCCATCCTTTTCTAGGTTATACAATATATTTTTTGGAGAATTACTTGAGGTCCCAAAAAAAATAATTACTAATAAATCCAAATGCTAGTGATCAAAATAAACCTATATATGGTCATTTTCTACTAAATCTTATCACTACATGTTGCTTAATTGTTGTTGTCTGAATTTTTAGTTATTGCATTCTTTTATTGAAGTACTATAATAATTCTGCCTTCTTTCTTTGTTTTCAACAATTTCCAACAAATTAAATAGAACAATATAATGGAATAGTGGAGTAAATGAAAATAAAAGCACTGAACTCCATTAAGCTTATTATGTTGATACATTAAGCTCATAAAGTGGTATCTTATTTAAGAGGAAAGCATTATGATAGAGAGTATATTAGACTCACATTTCTTGGAGTTGGGTCCAATTCCCAATAAAATTGGATAATTTTCCTGATATATTGGTCCCATCTAAATAACTACAAAAATATTCGAAAAGAAATTTTAGAATTTAAAAGAGATCAACTCAATATCAAAAATAAAATATAATGAAATGATTAAATCATATTATGTCACTCACATAGATTCTAGTTTTTTCAGATTACCAAAACTTTCGGGTATTGTCCCTAAGAAGTTATTTCCAGAAAGATCCCTACAAGTTCCAAATCCTTAGAAACAAATAAAACATCTAAAAGCAATACGAAAATTATCTATAACAATACTAATGTGGTAGCTAGTCACAATGCAACTAATAAGATAAAAGAAAATTATTTTCACTTGAAATAATATTCTTACAACTTGCGTAGCTGCATCAATTTTCCGAGGCTAGAAGGAAGAGTCCCTTCTAATAGATTATCTTTCAACTCTCTGCAAAAAGTAGCAAAACCATAAAATTATTACTCAATACAATAATGAGTTCTTAAAACTCAAAGTGTAATGATTTATACTTACAAATTCTCTAAAGATGTAATTTCACCAAAAGCGTCTGGAATTGAGCCACTGATTGCGTTAGCCGTAAGGCGTCTAAGACATGTGTTTAAGAGATGAATAATGCTTATGGTCAAATAATTTGAGCTTGTATATATCGATGCATGCATGAATAACATACATGAAAATAACCATATATATATATATATATATATATGTTCATTCACAACTCCATGATCACTTACAATGTAACAAGAGGGAGTCTACCAAAGCTCCTTGGGATTGATCCATTTAGATAATTGTGAGACAAATCACTGTGCCGTATATAAAAGTTACATTTTCGATCACAAATTCCCATATTTCAACTAAGCATACACACACATATATTTAAACCAATAATAGAATTAAAAAAATTTCATTACTTACAGTTCTTGCAGATAGGTAAGGAATCCAAATTCACTTGGTAAAAGTCCCGATAAGTTGAGACCCGTGGCAATGCTATCATAAAAAGAAAACACATTACTACAACTATTTACATAGAGCTAAAATAAAATAAGTTGTGTTATAATTAGCGCTAATATGTTGGCCAAAAAAAATAGCACCAATATGCATTTGAATATTAATTTTATTGCGACGCAACCAGACCTAACTTGTTCTAAATATCATAGAAATATATCTCAATATCAAATCAAGTAGTTTCTAATCAAGAAAGGAACAAAACTTTTCGACATTATTTGGAACTCATTAAACACAGCCTAATTTAGATTGGAGCTTGATTTGTACCCAAATTGAAAGGGTTATGTTGTAACCATGTACACGGATGCACTTACATCTTTGTAACATGACAAACTTTTCCATTTGAGAATTTGCAATCGCATATTACATTCCTTGTGAAGCTATCCGCTGTAATGGTCTCATTTTTGAAGCTTCCATCGACACAAGAATGTTGGGTCACATCCCAATTCAAGTTCTCTATCTTCGATGATATTGTTTTTAGAACTTTCACTGCATCAAACACAGTTCAGTTTTTTTTCAAAAAATAAAAATGAAAAATGAAAATCAAGCACCATAAAGTAAGAACCTCAACATCTATATTTTATGTTCATAGACATCTGTAATATCATAGACATTGATATTGATGAACTTGTCCAACATATATATGTGTGTGTGTGTATTTTGGCCGACAACTCATCCAACATACGGATCATGCAAAGGTGGCTCATATTCAATTTAAAACGCTAGTAATGGCTTAACCTATAAACTTGAGCCGTCTTAAGTATCTATCTATTTTTTTTTTTTTAATTCTTATCTTGATTAAGAAATGTCTTCTTATCCAGAACAGCATCAGTGATGCCAAATATGAGTGCGGAAATCAAGTTTTCCCTAATAAGCGCATCGGACACTAAATATAAAAATATTTTTTAATGAGCTAAAATACACAAAACTCCCTAAACTTTAAGTCAAATGCACATTACCTCCCTAACCTTTAAAAGCTTAAATTAAGGACTCTGATATTTCATATTTTGACTATAAACTCCCCTACCATTAAAATTGCTATTAACATTAACAGTTTTTGTCATGCCATATTTTTTATATTTTTTTATTATATACCATTTCATTTAAAAGAATATTTAGTATTTGACGTGCAATTTTATAACATGCTTAAAAAATATTTAAAATATTTATGTGAGCATGTCTTTTTAAAATAAAAAAGGTAGAAAAATCTTAAATATTTATATCAAACAGTCAAATATTATTTTTTAAATAAAATGGTATATAATAAAAAATATAAAAAAAACTTGTGACATGTTAAAAACCGTTAACTTTAAAGGTAATTTTAACAGTAGGGGAGTTGAAATTCAAAACATGAAATATCAAGATTCTTAAATTAAATTCTTAAAAGTGAGAGGTGATGTGCAGCTGACCCAAAGATAAGAGATTTTACGTATTTTAGCCTATTTAATATACAATAATATAATTAATTATTTTATTATTTTTATACCTGTGGTTTACAAGTTTTCAAATTATTAATGAAAACACAGCTTTTATATTCTTTTTATAATGATATATCTCAAAATATATAAAACCATTAAAAATAATTAATATAAATTTTCAGAAATTTTTTGGTTTATTTTATTTCAGAAAAGAAATATTGATAAACGACTATTAACACATTTTATAAATTATAAATACGAGAAGACTGCGGCGAATACAATATATAGTAGTAGTATAAGAAAATCGAAATGAATTGGGTGTTATGCAAAGAGAGAATGAGTTAAAATTAAAGTAGATTGTTTATATTTATTTCAGTTTCATGGGCGTGAGGATTAAATTAATCAGAAATTATAACAATCATATAAATTAAGCTAATAAAATATTTTGGTATTAATACATAACAAGTAACTGATAAAACATAATTTTCGATCATATTCTGTGCATGCAAAGGAGATTACTGAGCTCTATTCCTCTATCCAGGTTGCCAAAAAAATATGATTGATTACTTATATATAGTTCTTTGCATGGAATATGTTTGTCGTTAGATAACCTAACTGTGCAAACGAGAAGAGTGAATTTAATCTCAGCATTAAATTAAAGCATTGACAAATAAATGACTAAAACAAATCACTAGAGTTTTCAACCACTGGAATCTTGTTGGCCAAAAAGGAAAATAAAGAAAGAAAGAAGGAAAACGTTCGCATCAATTTAATTACTTAGTTCCCTCTTTTTTGGGGGCCCGGGGGACCAAGTATCGCAAGTTATGACAGTTTTTTTATCACTGCTTGTTCACGATCAAGCACCATGTTGACTCCTTTCTTTTGTGTAATTTTCTTTGAACAGTAAGAAAACAAATGGAAATGAAAGAATCGATCATAATGCTGAATAGAGTAATATAGTATATACTAAGAAGTAAGAAATACAGAAAGGGGTTGATTAAGAAACCTTCATCTTCTAGTATGAGTTGAGCATCGGATCCACAGTTTGTGAAAGCTTTCAAAGCGAAACATCCAAATAAGAAAAGATATAAAAGTTTAGAGATTGAGATCCCAAACTCCATTTATGTTGGTTGTTGCAGTTTGGAGAAAGTAACTCTGTGAGGGAGCGAAGGAAGAAGGACGAGGAAGAAGCAGTTTGCAGAATCACGCAATAGCAAAGGGCAAGAGATAGAAGAAGAAGCTAAGGATGTTGCAGTAGAAATAGTGGCAAGAAGAAAAGAAAAGCAAGTCAAGATTTCTACAAGTTTTCTACTTTTTTGTAAAGTAATAAAAGCGCTTATCTTGTGTCAAGAAGAGGTAATAAAGCTGTTGATTTTTTGGTAGGATGTACCACAATGAGTGGCTACCTATGCCCCGTCCTCTCTAAGCGTGTTTTCAGCTTATGACGTGACCAAAGGAAGGGAATCCAAGGGTAGTGCACGTACTTGTAAGGCTCTAAGGGAAGGCATTGGCTGACGTGGTCCGTGTTTCTAGTTGGGTTCTAATTGTTTTTATTTTGTTTGTATGTTTTATTTTCAGAATTTTGTGTGTTAAGTTGTAGCTTAGGTTTTTTGGGAATTTATTTTGACCTTTGGCTATTGGTGTTTGTATTATTTTTTTATATTAGTAAAATTGATTTTTTTGGCCAAAAAACTAAAAATAAAAAGCGTTGAACAGCTGCAAGCCTTTTCATAGGTAATGTGATTTTCAGCATTATAATAATTGGATCTGTTAGATTGATGAATCACTGGTTAATGGCTCAATGTGATAAGATTATCATCAAATTTGCTGTTATTAAATTAAGATATTCTTAGTTTTATATATTAAAATAATATAAACAAAAGCATAGCTTTGGCTATTAATTTTATGCAAAGTTTTAATTTGGTTTATTAATTTTATAAAGTTTTTTTTTTCAATCCTCCAATCGTCACATTATTTTGTTATTTTAAAAAGGTAAAAATGTACATTTGGTCATATAATCTTATAGAAGTTTCGAATTCGTTCGTTAATTTTATAAATCGTCTTTTTAGTCTTCTAATTAATCCTAACACGTTGATTGCACATAATTATTTTTTTAATCAATCATTATTATTTTAAGTAGTTAAATTTAATATGTGAGTGTTTATGAATGTTCATGTTTTTATTAACATTTAAAATTATAATATCAATATTTTTTTTCATTTTAAGAATTGATTGAAAAGACAATTTTTTAAACTAAATTATTAAAATAGAATTTTCCGTAAAATTAAAGAAAAAAGATATACTTTTGAGAAAATTGCAAATAAAGACCCTGAATATGTAAAATTACGATTTAGAACTTTTAATTTGAAAAATAGCAAATAAGAACTCGATCTCATGTTTGCAAATATGAAATCATAATGAAATATCTGAAATACCCCTCAATCAATGACAAGTTGACTATAATAAATGACAAGTTCACTTTAGCGAATGACAACTTCAATAGACCAAATCACAACTTGGCTGAGAGTATGTCAAATGACGAGTTAACCATGGAAAATGACAAATTTACTTTAACAAATGAGGATTTAATAGACCAAATCACAATTTGGTTGAGGGATATTTTAGGTATTTTACGCACATTCCAGAGAGATTTAAAAAAAGTAAAAAGAAAAAGGAAAAAAGAAAACAGATTATGGCAAGGAATGATATTATCAACCGGAAAAGATAAAGTTAATGAGAAATCAAGAGCAAGTGTCAAAACTCATTATCGAAAAATTATTGCTTTCCAAAAGCACTTTGTGTGGGTAGAAACAAGGATAGTGACACTCTAAATTTAAAATTTTTTATTTGTAATTTTTGATAATAATAAATTTATTTTTTAAAATCATAGTTATAAAATTATTTTGTAAAAGTTAAGGTGAATCTACTACTTCAAGTATTTTTTTTTATGTGTTCAACAGACATAAAAAAAAATATTTTAATGCACACTTATTTAACAAATTTTTTTAGGAGTAAAGGGCAGGGTTAAAATTTGTCCCTAAATAGATATTTTAAAAATGCAAACGCTTCTTAAAAAAAACCAATACATTCAAAGTAAAATTGCACTACCAAATATTTTAATATGTCAAAAGGTTAAAAGCACATGAAAGCTGGATCAATCATAAAATATTTTAGGATACTTGATGTACGTGAAAAAATATTTTATGATGTTGAATGCATCTTGATCCTTCTTTTTATTTAGATTTCTTATTTATCAAAAGTAAAAATTAAGTTTTCAAAAAATCTAAAAAAATGAAATAACTTAAAATGTGAAGTTGTCCAAATTTAATTTCAATAATCTCACATTCATGACAAACAGCGGATGCTCATTGATCACAACTCATGCCGGGAAATGGCTTTGTCATCTTTGTTGCCTTTATAATTTACTTTTCCAATGGCTTTGTCTTCCTTTGCTAGTTGGTTAAAATATGAAAGTGGCAAGAAATTATTAAAAAATTACAATGATTACTTTAGTGAATTTAAATTAAAATGTAAAATAATATAAAGCCACATATGGACCTTTCTTTTTTCTTTTTTTTTTGCCTTGACATATGGACCTTTCAAGATATTAAAAAGGAAAAAAAGACAGAAAAATGACAATTTAATTTCAAAATGACAGAAACGTCTGCCAATTTGGAAATCCCGTTTTGGTCACATGAGACCAAATTGGGATTATCTTGTTAAATGAAAAGACGAAACTGCCCTCACCATAAACAAAACGTGGGCATCACATTAAGCTGCATTCCAGACAAAGATAGGTGGGAAGGAAAAGAGAGAAACGTGCACAACGGAGGCTGCTCGAGGGTGATGAGAAGGTGGTGGTCCGAAAGGGTAAGTGTTTTTTTGAAATCATATGACTCTTTCATCCTAGTAGCATCACTGTGGCAGTGCTTTTTTTGGTTTTTGGTGGTCTTGTGTTCCACATAAGTCGTCGAGGGTTCAGGGGAGGTAACGTGCAACATTACGTAATTAAGTACTGTCATCAAGGATCTGGTTTTAGGGAAATGTCTTTACTGAAGTTGTTATTTCTTTTAATTGTGTTGTTAACTATGACAGGAGCTGCAAGACGAGTCTACTTATTATTCATGTTTGATATTCTTGACTTATATGTTATGTTTTAAGTATGATCTTCGTATAAGCTGAGTTTTAAAAATTAGCATTAATGATCATTTCCTTTTATGATAGTTGTTAAAACTTATATTTGAGTTGTTAAAAACTTATTTTGGAGTTGTTATCTGGTTTACTGAAGTTGTAATGTGGTGGGTTTATTCATTATTGGAAATGTTGATCCATAGACTGAAGTTGTACAACACTTAACCGAAGTTGTGAAATGGTTTTTTTTTTCTTATCTTGAAAATGCTGTTGTGAATAAACATACTAAAGTGGTAAATATATATAAAACTGTTGTAAATCCATACACTGGATTGTAAGATTCTCCCCAGATGTTTAAGCAGGCCGTCCAACCAAGGTGTAAGGAGGTAAGAAACCAAGTGGTTAATGAGTATACCTAAGTTGTTAAAATATTATACTGAAGTTGTTAAACGCTTAATAGATGTTGTGAAAGGGGTATATTTTTTCTATCTTGAAAATACTGTTGTAAATACCGATACTGAAGTTGTAAACATATATAAAGATGTTGTTAATCTATACATTGGAGTTGTAAAATTCTCCCCGAATGCTTAAAATTCTCCTCTTCTCTCTTCTTTCCCTTTGATCGACTCCCACAATGTATCCCTTCGGTCCTTCTTTTTCTTTTCTCTTCTTCCACGATGACCACAGCACCACCAACACGCTCTTCCTTCTTCTCTTCTCTCTTCTTCTATGGTGACCACAGCACCACGAACGCGCCCTTCCTTCTTCTCTTCTCTCTTCTTCCATGGCGACAACTTCCTCCTCTGCTCCCTTCTCCTATCTTTTCCGTTCTTCGCACCGTCAGTTTCAACCAAGCATTCCCAAGTTAAACCTCGCCTCTCTCCCCCACTTTTGTTTCAAATAATACAAAGGGTAGTTTCATCTTTCATTTAACAAGATAATCCCAATTTAGTCTCTGGGCAGATGTTTTTGTCATTTTGAAGTTAAACTACCATTTTCCTGTCTTTTTTCCTATTAAAAATTGAAAAAGTTGTTGGAATTGTCAAAACAAGGGTTCAATGGTCAAAGGTCTGGGCGTCTGGTCATGGTCAAATATTAACTTAAGTAAATTAACATATGTTTAATTATTAAAATGTTAACTTAAATAAGATATATTTTAAATCATAATAAAAGTACAATATAAAAACTAAGGCTTTATTTGATTTCCAATTTTCAGAACAAATTTTCGTTTTTGAAAACAAAAAAATAAAAAAATTGTTTGATGATTAATTTTCATTTAACTGTTTTGTAGTAGTAGTAATAATAATAATAATAATAATCTGTTTTTAAAAATAAAAAAGAACCATTTTTCTATGTTTTCTCCCTTTTCTTTTGTAGAGAATTGCATAATTGTGATGTAACTTGTGAATTTTTCTTAGGCTAACGTATATATTAGGTCTTTTAACTTTATGTAAGGTTTCAGTTTGGTCCTTTAACTTTAAATAGTATAACTTTGGTCTTTTAACCATAAATTATTAGTCTTAAATTATGATTTTTTATAACATTAAACTTAATATGTTAGTATTTAGTAATATTTTATTAACACTAAAATGTTCAATATCATTGGTTTTTATTAATAGCTTTTGAATTAAAAGACTAAAACTTTACTTTTTAAAATTAAAGGACCAAAACAAAACATTGTGTAAAGTTAGAAAACTAAAAGTATATTTTAGCCATTTTTCTTATAACAGTATGTTAAAAGACCAAACCGCAATCAATGAGATGAGGCTTTATTCCTGTTATACTATGTTAAAAAAACCAAAATAAAATTCACGCTTTTTTTTTTAGCATAATTATTTTTTATTTTGGTCTTTTAACATAATTTTCCCAAGAATTAATGGGGCAAAAAAATGTTTGGGACGCTTGGAAGATTATTATTGTATCTCAATATATTGTCTTTGATTTTAGGAAAAACTAATCGGCACTCCTTATAGTTTTATCTGATTTTGAATCAAGTCCTTTTAGTTTTTTTATTCTTTTTATGAAATCCTTATAATTCATTACATTGAATGAGTAAGTCCTTCTGCTAAAATTACTTTCAACGCTATTAATGCTGTGTGACATCGCATTGAAAAGGTTTGCTTTCTCTTTCTTTCCA